AAATAACCGAACCTGCAGTTCCTCTCGTACCGAGCGGGATTACTATCGCAACGAGGAGTCATCAGTAGGGTAAAACTAACCTGTCTCATAACGATCTAAACCCGGCTCACGTTCCCTGTCTATGGATAAACAATCCAACGCTTGACGAATTCTGCTTCGCAATGATAGGAAGAGCCGACATTGAGGAATCAAAAAGCGAGGTCGCTATGAACGCTTGGCCGCTACAAGTCAGTTATCCCTGTGGTAACTTTTCTGACACCTCTTGCTAAAAACTCTTCAAGCCAAAAGGCATCTACATAGAATCAAGCCAGCTTTTGCCCTTTTGCTCTACGCGAGGTTTCGTCCTCGCTGAACTGGCCTTAGGCCACCTGCGTTATTCTTTGACAGGTGTACTGCCCCAGTCAAACTCCCCGCCTGGCAGTGTCCTCGAATTGAATCAGGTTGGAGGTATGTTGACGCTCGAAATTCGGGTATCCGAACGACAAGCCTTATCGGAACCATGAAACCGACGAACGGCACAACGCAACGAAACGTCACTCCGTGCCCTTGGCTCAAGAATGCCGTGACAGTCGCTACTGACTGAGTAAGTAAAGAAACGATGAAATGCTTGTTCCGTATCTATTTGGGTATAAAAATTTTCTTTGTTGGTCGTTATTGTCACATCCTGAAAAAAAGCGATTTTGTTTCTTGTTCATCAGTCTTGCTTTTTTATGATCATCTGGTGTTATATTTTTTTACTGTTAAAGAAACTGTTCATTTGTTATGGATTATTTTCCAAAAAGTGGTTTAATATCTCTATCGTGTGCTTCCTTTGCTTGCAAAGTTTCTTAGTGTTTCTAGTTGCTTTTCATAAATTCCCATTTTGTCGTTGAAATCTGCACACATTATTAAAAAGTGACCAGTCATTATTGATTCAGAATACAATTTTTTGGGGAGGGGGGGGCAGATGCAGGGAATTTATTTGAAAATAAAGAATTGTTCCTCATTTAAATATTAAAATTAATGTTGGTGTTCTAAAGGTTGAACACATTCTAAAAATAACCAGAACTTTTGATGAACAGTTTACTTCCTCCAATATATAAACGTAAATGTTACAAATATGCCTGTTTGAATTGTGTTACCGTAAAGCTGGCTTCTTTTATTGTTTGAAACAGGTTTAACAAAGTAGTTAGTGGTTGAGATGTGATGGCGCTAGTTTATATAAGGATCTATGTAATAATTATTATTAGTGAAAGCACAAGATCGTGCTGATCTCTGCTAGAAATATTACAATTAGATAAACAAGGTGAATGACTAATTTTAATTTACTTTATTACAAGGTGATACGTATACTCCATTCCACGAATATACGACTGTTTTAAATTCGGGTTTAAGGAGTCGATTTAAATGGTCCAATGTACTGAATTGTACAATGGTAAATTCTCCCCATTTTTAAAATACTGTTATGACAGATATAAAGCTTTGATTTAAATATGAAGTCATGATATAAATATAGAGTTGATAGTTTATAGAACAGTTGTAATTCAGATTTTGAAGTATATAACTACTGTTAGTTAGTTTAGTATTCTAAACAAGTTGGTTTTTAAATTAAGTGATTTAAACGAAGTGTAACAATACCTAACTGATTGAATAGTGTAATTTATGTAGACGAATATTCAATTAGTATTAAAAAACAAAAAAACTTACTTATTCTCTTATTCCCCTAATCGTCTTTACTCCACTTAAAGCAAACAAATATTTAAAACTAACAAAGTTAAATACTAACTAAACTAACAAAGTAAAATATTATAAATAGATTATAGATTCTTTTTCTGGTTTCTGAACCATCGTTCTGCCAATTTCCTTTCAATTATATTAAAAATAGTATATTTCTTTTTATTACAGTTGTGGTACCTAATAAAGTAATAAAACAGTGTAATATAAAAGAAACCCGGTACTCCTTTTTGGTGTTTACATTTCAGGGAAATCCAACCCAAATGTCTGATGAACACCTTTGGCTTATAGACGTCATTGTATTTATTTGAAGGAGCGTTTGCACAAAAATTTCTGTTATTTTCGGACTAAATTTCACAAATTTTGCGTCTATCTGAACATCTATTATAGTTTATTTTTATGAACGAGAGAGTAATTAGCATAATTTTAACTGGTACCTTCCGACCACTCCATGGGCGTGCTCAAGATTAATTGAAAAATTACTTTGAATAATTGTAAAAAATAAATGAATTATTTCAGTGTTATAAAGTGTTATGTGTATGTAAACAAAAGTGACCTCTTTTATCACACACTATATTAGAACTGACTGGCCTACATTAAAAAGGGTTTTAAAAAATTCACATTTTTTTTAATTTTTAAAAATTACAAAAGAGAAAAAGAGTTTTTAAAACCGTCTAAGGTATGTTAAATAGATGAATAAAAATATTAATATAAAACTTACAGCTACTTGTTACAAATCCAAATCAGATTCAGAAGATGAACTTTCAGAACCAAGATTTATAATAACTGGCTCGATCATTTTATCAGTAATATTGTCCAGCTTCCACATTTTTTCCTCTTCTTTAATAGTGTGATTTACTGCCTTTTCCCAGTTTTCAGGTTTTACATTATTTACGGCCTCCAAAAACAACTGTTTAACATCATGAATTTTAAAAGTGGTATTTTTTCTTGAAACTTCACTCTTTATCTGTGCCCATACCAGTTCAATCGGGTTTAATTCACAATGATATGGTGGGGATCTAAGTACTGTCATTCCACGATTTTTGGCAATTTCATCAATTTCGTATTTTTTAAATTTTTCTTTATGAAGGGCACACAACGAATAAAGTTCCTTTCTTATAGATCCGGGATGGTACGTAATATTTTTTGAACTCAGCCAATTCTGCAAGTCTTTTTTTAACCACTTGGTTGTGGGCAGTCCTTCTATAAGTCTGGAGTGATAACTTGCATTATCCATTACTATTACACAGTTCTTAGGAAGAAGATCTATCATTTGTTCGAACCATTCTTGAAAGACATCAGCGTTCATGTCTTCATGGTAGTCACCGGTACGAGTTGATTCAAAAGTTAATAAACCACCTTCAACAAAACCGTCTGAACTGCCAATGTGTACTATTATCAGCCTGCGTCCCTTTCCTGATGGTGGGTTTAAACCAGTAGATAAGTTATTTACAAAAGCGTGCCTTTGACTTGTAACAGTTTCATCCTGCCAAAATTTATTTGGTGTATGACCCTCGTTGATCCATGTTTCATCAAGATAAAATATTTTTCTTTTTTGGTTTCTCATTTCCTTTATGGTTCTTAGAAAATGTCTTCTCCATATGACAATATCGCTTCTTTCTAATAAAATAGACTTTCTGGGATTCTTTTTCCAGCGGAAGCCTATTTCTTTTAAAAGTTTCCATAACGTACTTCGACTCATTTCTGGGTAATCCTTATCATCTCGAACTGAGACAAGAACTTTATCCAATGTTGGAAATTCTTGTCTAAAGAAGAATTCATGCACTTTCCGTCGAAGTCCTTCTTTAAAATGATATTCTATTTGAAATTTTGGTTTCCCTGGAGCATTACGTGGCATTTGAAAACTACCACATTTCTCTTCTTTAATAACTCTGTAAATCGTAGATTTCCCAACACCAAGTGTACTGCTAACTAACTCAACGGTCTCATCAACACTTTCACATAAACGTTTGTCTGTAAATGATTTAAAACAATTAAATATTAATGTTTTTTCATTAACTGTTAAAGGACCAATTTTTCGGCGTTTACACGGCACTTCCAAATTTTCCATAACACTAGTATACACAATAAACTGCACCTTGCAACTGAAGTACCTACTTTTAGTGAACTGTTAAGAATTTTGAATACGCCACTTGGACCTTCCTACAAAATGGAAAAACCCACTATCACATTTTCTGTGGAATAAGTTTAGAAGGTAATTATCTAGTCAATTACTGTCGTAGATTCCTGGAATTAAAGAATTAAATGTTTGATTGTTGAAACCCTTACTTCGTGGAATGCACTCATTTCAGATAAAATAAAACGTTTTATTTTATCTAAAGAATTAAACTTTATTTTGCAAATAGGTAGGTACTTATTAAACTTTTATTGGTTATATATAACCAATAAAATAAACATCTTACATTTCTTGCAAATTCATTAGTACCTGTTAACCTCCATCACTCCGACACTGGCAACCTTATTTAGGGATTAGTAACCCTCACAACTATTGTATTCTATTCTGCTCCAACCTTTATACCTGGTGGTCATACTCAATTTAAAATTGTTTTCCTATATACTTCTGTAAACTTGTTGACAAATATCTGTTTTTCATTGAGTCACCCGTATCAACAGTTTAGGGATTTGCATACATAATTTATTGTTTTATTACTCTCTCATACATAAAAATACACTATAACTGAAATAATTTTAGTTTAGATGTCATACTATCATATATATTATATCATAGATTCTTTTTTTGAAATAATAATTAGACCAATTTACTTTCATACTTCTACTTGCACAGTAAAATATTCATTGTCGCAATAATCCAAAACAGTCGTATATTCGTGAAATAACCTATAACTGAAACAAAATATTGTTAAATTCTCTAAATATTTTAGATAATTTTTATGATTCCTTTCATTAAAAAATGTTTTTGTGTTAAGTATTTAAACAACAAGAAGTACACGGTTAATTTAGATTTATTTCTATACCACGCTTATTCATCGTACCAAATAATCATCTCATAAGAATTTTAAAAATAGTCTCAATTGCCACTTAACAGAATTCCAGCAGGCGGACACGGTCTTACAGTTAAATCCGTCAGAAATCTATAAATAACCCTTCATCGAATCCCACATTTATAGGATTCATTCTCATCCTCGCCCCGAATTCGCTGTTGAATCATAAACATCTTTTTTAACTAACACGTTCACATTTTCACCAAACAGATCCATTAACAGATATTCAAGTCCGGTCCGGATACTAATTCGATTTATTTACAGTTTTAAGTGTGACCAAAATCAAGTTCCTACACAATCTGCAAATGGGTCCACTGTACCTTTGGTGGATACCAGGAAAGTTGATCCAGAAGTCGGAGACTATGATCCGTTTCAACACAGAGCCAATCTGCCGCATCCAACATCGTAAGTAGTCTTTTAGTAAAAAAAATTATAAGTCCTTTAACCCTATGAGGCCGATATGCAATTAAGATATGATCAGTGGGGCGTTAATATTTATTTCTGATCGCTTAAAAAGTAAAAATATTAATTCTTTATTTTATGTTCAGTAATAATATTGGATTTTACTGTACCAAAGGCAAATAAAATGAATAAAATATGTATATAAAGGGCGTTTAAAAGAAGTGGGACGGAATATATCGAATACTCGAAATTATTTGTCAATATCAAATGTTCATCAAGGTCTCATAAGTCTATATTTTGCGAAGAGTGAGAATTAAACGAATGGTTTTGCAAGTTGCTGGTATGTCCAAATTTGAATAAAATAAATCCAATATTTTACTTTCTGCAGACACTGTATTAAATATAACCTGAAACAAATTGACACTAAATCAGTTCGAGAGTTTTCAGCAAAACAAAAGGTTTGACACTTACAAATTTTAAGGACTTAAAATGGTGGAGGTAGCATATAAAAATTTCGGAGCCCAACCAAACTCTTCCCCCCCCCAGAGGAAAATTCTCGGTGCGCTACTGATACCAAAGCTACTGAGAGTATGCAGTCCAGTAATTAGACCGAAGGTACTTTATCGTTTAACTAAAACACACCACAAAGTCCGAATTGAATTCTCGAAACACTTTTTTGTTACTTCTTTTTAGCAAACGATTTGTCCTATTCACTGTCTGATATTTCACTATCAGAGTCGTCACTATCTGAATTGTCTATCCGAATAATTAGAGGCCGGACCTCATCTATAACTCGCTCGGTTTGAAAAGACTGAACGATTATGTCTTCCGTATGTCTAATACAATTTTGCCATTGTTCTGCCTTTATTTGTTCTAGCGATTCTTTCCATAAACTAAGAACGCTAGCGTCATCTGTTGTTTTGGATGCATGTTTATCATAAAAATTTTTGGCTATACCCCAAACTAACTCAATTGCATTATAGTGTCAATGTAGGGCGGAAGTCGAAGAACTTCATGGCCATATTTAAGAGCCATTTGGTCAGTAACAAATTTCTTTTGAATTTTGTGCTCTCCACACCTTTGAAGTAAATCGACTTTTAAAAATATGTCACTGTGATAAATTTTCTTTTCTGTCAACCACAACTTTATTTCTTCTTTTGTCCAGCTGCTTGAAGGAAATCTCTCTTCTACTCTTGAGTGGTAGGATGCATTATCAACACTATTATGGATGGTCGCTCCAATTTTTTTACAATTTAAGCCATTCTTAAAAATATTTGCATCCATATTTCCATGGTAAAGATAATTCATAATGTCCTGGACCTGACGTAATCATTTAGTGACGTCGATCTACGAACGAAACAACGAAATCAGGCATTGCTAAAAACATGCAGTTCTCTTCAGTGCGTTATCGTAGCGAGACAGAGACGAACTAGTTTTTGTGTTAGTGAAACAGCTTTAATATTTTTATTTTTATTTTATACCTTATAAACAATCTAAAACTGAAAAAAAAAACGAAAATGGCTTAAAAACACACAATTATTTTTGAATTCACCAAACCTTGTTCTATCAGTTTCTGATACTTTAGTTTGGGCTTATTTGATTTTAAAACATTGTTTTTAGTTGTTTAAGGCTCTTATCCCAACCTATAAATAGATTTATACAAAACTGTTTAATAAACTATAATAGGACCACTTTTTGTATGGGCGACCTCTTGAACATTATTCTGTGGTCTTTTATGAAAGTCATTATGCAAAAAATCTCATGCGAATATTTTTCCCAAGGAATTCGAGGTTTTCGTCTCGTATAAACATATTTTGTTGAATTTAAGACCAAACCCCTATTATTTTTCTATCATACATTAAGTAATTTGTTATTTATTTGTCCTCTAGATTTTTTTCAGTTCTTAAAAGGTTTATTTACAAGTCAAATTAGTGCAATGTCAATATTTTACATTTTTACACAGCAATTCTTATCGGCGGTGAAGACGGGAAGTCGTAAATTTTTATTACATCTTCCAATATGAGATAAAATAAAAATGCGATGACTAACTGGAATGTTTAAGATTAGAGAAACATAATATGTCATGTTTATTGAAAATACTCGACATCATTAGCACGTGCAAATCCTACCCTGTCGCCCAATTTCGTATGAAATTAAAATGGTGCATGTTTTTAGGATCCATTTATTTTTTCGGGCATGCGTATTTACGAGGTCCACGAGGTTTTGAAACATTTCTAATGTATTCCTTGTAGACAAAAAAATTAAACTAGTGTCAGGAATAAAACCCCCATCATTTCTGTAATGTTTTCCTCTTTAGGACTGTTGGACATAACATAAAGCTACGATTGGTTTTATTTATTTATTAAGCTTTATAACAGAAACAGAAACAGAACACAGAACTTTATAACAGAAAACAGTGGAGGCATGTTGTCGACTCGGCTAAAACCCACGAAGGGTTGTAACGCCACGGAGTAGTAGTAGTAAGCTTTATAAGGATATATAAATTACATTATTTCAGTTCACATGTAGTCCATAACCTAAGTCTATTGTCATGTGTGGTTGTCATGTCACCGCTGTCACTTGTGGGCCAAGTGCAACGTTGCCAAGTATATTTGTACATGAAAACCATACATAACAATTTCCAGCATGAAGTATAATGTATCGTTTACCATTACCTGAACGACTAGAAGAATAACATTTCGTGGTGCCATCTTGCCAGGATGATTTTGACATATTTCCTTTAGCGAAAATCCAAGTTTCATCTAAAAATACAACTAGCCTCGGACTATTAGACGTTTTATTGATGATGTATGTAAACATTAGAGATTTTGCACAATACTTATCTATTATTTGTCTTTTTATATCGAAAACCTAAATGTTTCAGCACTTTCCACAAACTTACTAATATCACACAGTTCCTTGTCTTTATTTTTTGTAAAACAGCACTAATTGTTACATGTTCTTTGGCTTTATACGTACTATATATAATATTTTTAATTGCAAGTTTAAATGATTGGTGCAAATCCTAAGTTTTTGGAAATCGACGATTTCTCTTGCTTACTTTATTTATTTCATTCTCACTCATGTTATTAATTCTTCGGAATGTCCTCTCTGAGATACCGCAAGCATCGTATGTACGTTTCTGAACTGCCATATATTTTTTTTCCAAATTGAAATAGCTTACTTTCAGAACTAAACGCCGTTCTTCTGGAGATAACACTCTACGTTTCGACTGTAATTTATTTTCTTCCAAAATACTCATTTTACTTTAAAGTACCGCTTTACTACCTACTATAAAAAAATAGGTACTTATATACAACTACTACACCCTAAAAATTGCCACCATTCCGTACTCGTACTATTGCAATAAAATATTAAAACCAATAAACGATAACTTGTTGAGCAGTGCTGATTGAAACAACAGAGCAGTAAAATATTATTCATAAAGGTAGTGTAAATATATCGCCGTTACTGGCGTAGTAATAAATAAAGTTACCAGCATTTAATTGCAAAGCCGTCTTCTTAGGTGGAAAATACTTTATCTTCGAATTTTGAATACGTGTGTATATATCAATAAAAATACGATATTCGCCACAAAAAAAACGCCCATAAACCAGCAGTCAACACCATTTATTTTGAGTATGTTCTGATAACAAACCTACTCTTAAGCATAAAGGGTTCACTTATAGATCTACTTGCTATTAGCTCGAACAGCTGACGAAGTAGAGATAAAAGAGATACTGAAATAACTATATCATTCTGTTGATTCCGATTCAGACGTGAAAAGTTTGACTAATTTGTTCTCCAATGACATAATATATGGTTTTTATTTCATATATGGGTGTAACTAATAATCCTGCAGATCCACAAGAAGTTATAAGCGACCTAAATGCAGCTAGCAATGAAGTTGGCCTCAAAATGAACTTAACAAAAACCTTCTCTGTTGTCCTAAGATTGAGAAATTGGTCTCGAAGGCGGAAAAAAGTGTTCAGCGGTATCAGAATGCAGAAGGCAACGAGAAACTTGTGCATTAAAGGTCCCTGATGATCTCTAGTACAGCTATCATGGCAAAGACAACTAAAGTGGAAACAGCTACTAATCACGGAATACTGAAACCAATATTTGGCAGGGGAGGTAATCTACCTCTAGATCACAGGGCCTCCCAGGTCATAACCCAGAGAAACCCCTGTGGCAGAACTGGAAAAATGTCTCTAAAAAGAGTCAGGCTGGAAAACTTCATTCAAGAAATGACTAGACTTGGAGTAGGTATAGTGGGCATAAACAATATAAGGGGGTCAAATAGTGGTGGTCAACATATGGGCTTGGAGTAATCGTATCTCCTCAATTACGTCAATATGTCACAAATGTTATACCTGTTTCTGAAATATTAATAATAATTCAACTGAATACTACTCCGATCAAATTAAATGTTTTACAAGTGTATGCACCAACCAGCGATAAATCAGAAGAAGAGGTAGAGCAATTCTATGAGTTGTTGATAAATTCACAAATTAAAAAGAAATATTATGAGTGATTTGAATGCAAAAATTGGTAAACGAAGATGTAAAAGAAACATTAAGGAAATTAAAAAATAGAAAATCACCAGGAGAGGACAGAATACCGAACGAACTCCTAAAGTACGGAGGATAACCAAACAACTACTAAAACTAATCCAAGCACAAAACAGAATTCCTTAAGAATGGAGATCAAGCATCCTAATACCTCTCTTTAAAAAGGAGACAAATTGGACCCGGAAAATTACAAAGGAATTAATTTATTGAACACAACACTAAAATAACAACCAAAGTGATAACAAATAAACTGAATGAAATTATAACACTAGCAGAAGAACAACAGGGTTTTATGTCAGGAAGATCATGCACCGACGCAATACGTATTTATGAGGCAAGTACAAGAGAAATCAATAGAATACAACAAACCGGCATAGCTATGTTTCGTGGACCTTAAGAAGGCATTTGACGGGGTCTAATTAAAGGTCGTTATCCACTTATTAAATTTATCAAAATGAGAAAGCTCTCAAGCAACCGCAACTTAAGCGTTAACCTCCGATGGCGCACCACGAAATGCTACGTACTCTCTACGCTACTTTACGGAGTAGAAAGGTGGACGTTAACAGCAGCAACTATAAAGAAGTTAGCAGCTCTAGAAATGTGGCTGTATAGACGCATACTGAGAATACCTTGGACAGACAGAGTGACCAACACTGAGGTATTAAGACGAATGGATAAAGAGGTGGAGTTGTTAACAAGTGTTGAAAGGAGAAAAGCGTCATACCTGGCCATGAGTTCCGTAATGATAAGTACAGTCTGCTACAGCTTATCGTGGAAGGTAAGATTGAAGGTAAAAGAGGTTTGGCAGAAAGAAGAAATCCTGACTGAGAAACTTGAGAAAATGGTTTCAAATACCAGAAGCTGCGAACATGATACATGCGGCACAAAACAGAGAAACCTATCATTTGGATGGTCGCCAACCTTCGAGTAGAAGACGGCACATAAAGAAGAATCCACTTATTGTACGCAAGAGTCATATACCTCTAGTAATAATCAAAACTGCCAAGATTGGCTGGAGTCAATATTCATCCCACTACCAAAAAAGCCAAACCCACAACACTGCAATGAGTTCCCTCTGATAAGCCTTATGAGTCATGCAGTAAAAGTCCTACTAAAAATCGTACATAATCGTATCTATAAAAAGTGCGAAACAATCATCGGAGACGATCAGTTTGGATTCAGAGCCGGCATGGGAACGAGAGAAGCCCTGTTCAGTTTACTAGTTCTCGCCCAAAAATGCTACGACCAACAGAAAGATATATTTATATGCTTTATAGACTTCGAAAAAGCATTTGATAGAGTAGGACACGACCTACTATTAGAACGTTTGCAAGAAGTCGGTTTAGATGGAAAAGACATCAAATTCTTAAAAACTTCTACTGGAACCAAAACGCCAGAGTTGGGATCGAAGGTTCCACATCCGCAGAAGTAGAAATTAGGACGGGAGTTAGACAAGGATGTGTTCTGTCGCCTCTGCTGTTTAATCTTTACTCCGAGTTTTTATTTAAAGAAGCATTGGAGGATTCCAAGGATGGAGTCAATGTGAATGGCGTAAATATCAACAGTATCAGATACGCCGATGATACAGTGTTAATTGCGGATTCCGACTTAGGTCTACAACGACTCATCGACAAGACCAACTGGACCTGTGAGCAATTTGGTATGAAAATAAACATTAAAAAAACCAAAGTGATGTCAATCCGAAAAAACCAAAACGTACCTCAACCTTGCACAATAAATGGGCACATTTTAGAACAGGTCAATAGATTTAAGTACCTGGGATGTTGGATCGATAGCAGCCTAAATCCTGATCTAGAAATAAGATCGAGAATAGAACAGGCCAGAGAATCTTTCCAAAAAATAAAAAAAAAACTGCTTTGTGATTCTCGAATAAAACTCGAAATTCGACTACGTTTATCAAAATGTTACGTCTGGTCGACTCTTCTATATGCAGTTGAAACGTGGACCCTTAAAACATCAACCGTAAATAAATTGGAGGCCTTTGAAATGTGGATCTACCGGAGAATACTCAAAATTTCATGGACATCGCATACCTCAAACGAAGAAGTGCTGCATAGAATAGGCAAGGAAAGAGCAACTTTTTAACACAGTAAAAGTTAGAAAAACATCATACCTAGGCCACATACTGAGAAATAATACGTACCAATATGCCCAACTTATAGTGAAAGGAAAAATCGAGGGAAAGAGAGGCCTAGGAAGGAAAAGACTATCGTGGCTCAGAAACATCCGACAATGGACAGGGATAAATTTTGAACAGCTAATAAGAACAGATGAAGATAGAGAAGAGTTTAAAATTGTAGTAGCCAACCTCCATTGAGGAGAGGGCACTTTAAGAAGAAGAAGAATAATCAAAACGATCGAAAATAAATATCTACCAAAACAACACAAAAGTAAAAGTGAAAGAAGAACTAACCGACCCTATTGAGGCTGGCAATGAGATTGAATATGAGATGAAAAATATGAGATAACGCTCTCAAAGTGAAGATGATTTATAACGTATGCTGCCCCAATTTAATATAACCGCCAGAAAATTTAACATGTTAGTTTCCCCAAAAAAGACAAAATGCATGGTTACAACTGCAAATTTATTAAGATGTAAATTGGAGTTGGAAGGTCAGATATTAGAACAAGTGATGGAGTTTAAATATCTAAGCATCACATTATCTAGCTACGGAAAGCTCAAAACTGAAGTGAAAGATCACCATCGAACACAACATCATCAGACCAATAATGACATACGCGGCAGAAACACGATCTAACACAGAGGACAAGCAGACTATACGACGCAGATGCAAGGTGGAGAACATCAAGAACTGGGTAAAAAATAGAAGAGGAGAATGAACGACAACTTACTGGAGGCACATTGAAAAACAGACAGAGTCATGTCTACATAAAAAGAAGAAGAGAATCAGTTGGCCACCCCAGATATACTGTATTCAATTGTAAATCTATAATATCTCTGAAATGGGAATTAAAAATATTTTAATTAATACGATAAGTTCAATATTTGATAACGTAATTATTAAAACAAACTAATCTGTTTTATGTACTTTTTGCAGGGACTTGGATACGCTCATCCATCTTCTTAAAGGATGTTTGGGAAGCGGTATCTTGGCCATGCCATTAGCCTTCCACCACGCCGGCTTATTCTTTGGTCTCATATGTATGTTCATCATTGGTATAATTTGCACCTACTGCGTTCATATTTTGGTCAAAAGTGCGCACGAAATCTACAGGCGGCAAAGGGTTTCAGCTCTCGGTTTTGCCGAGGTTGCAGAAGCTGCTTTCCTCATCGGACCGAAAGGTTTCCATCCCTGGGCTAAATTTGCCAAAGCTATGATTAACTTCTTTTTGGTGGTAGATCTCATAGGCTGCTGCTGTGTGTACGTATTATTCGTGGCAAAGAACCTCAAGCAAGTGGTAGATGGTTACACCGACGTCGAATACCATTATGACGTCAGGATATACATGGCTGCCTTGTTACCATTCTTGATCTGCACTAATCTTATCAGAAATCTCAAATATCTCGCACCATTATCCATGGTCGCTAATGTCTTAGTAGCGGTAGGCCTTGGTATTACTTTCTATTATATATTTAACGGTCTACCACCACTCAGTTCCAGACCTCATTTTGCTAGTGTTTCTACTTTGCCTGCCTTCTTCGGCACCGCCATTTTCGCTTTGGAAGGTATTGGTGTAGTTATGCCATTGGAGAATAACATGAAAACTCCAGGTCACTTTATTGGATGTCCCGGCGTGCTCAACATTGGCATGTTTTTCGTTGTGATCCTATACGCATCTGTCGGATTCTTTGGATACTTACGCTATGGAGATGATGTCAAAGTTGGAAGTATCAGCTTGAATCTTCCCGACGAACCGTAAGTATTTTTATCAATAATATATTAGTATTTTTATGATAAGTTATAAAAATAATTTAAGATAAGGCTTGAAAAGATCTGTGAAAGAGCTTGCTTAATAAAAGGAGCTGAGATAATTAAAGGGTCAGGGGAAAAACGGATTTATAGTATATTTGAAAAATAAGCTGGAGTAAATTCTCAGAACACTATTCTTCGAACCTCGAAATACATATTCGTGCACATCTTCTAACTAAAACGTAATCTTAAAGAAAAGTTTGCGGTAAATTTATTTGGATATTTAGAACAAAGAAATTAACCCAATCCAATACTGGTTTAAAATAAAAAGATACACATAAAAAGAATAAAAATTATAAAAAAGAGGTTAGGCTTTGTAAATGGGTATATTTATTTAAAAAAACCCTTAAAAGGGCTACATCAATAAAACAAACGTTTTCGGACCACACAGTCCATCATCAGGTTTTAAAAATCGAAAATGCTAGGTCACAATGCCTGAGCCACCAAAATACTAGGGTAAAAACCCTTTAAATTACATTTAGTTATAAAAGATTGTACATTGTGTTATAAAATAACTGTGATGTTCAGTATTAAATTTGACTAGAGGTAACACATGGCTGAATCGAGTTACCAGAGCCGGTGAGAGAGAACCTCTACACGCGGAGAACAGCTGGGAACTACGAACCTCTTTTTGTGATACAGGGTATACAGCCAGCTACAGGAATTTTTTTCCTTGTGGATTTTAAAAAAAATATATATTCATTGTGAAACTTACAGTTAATATAAAATAATAAAATACAATAAATTATACTGAAACGTAAAATACATACACAAAAACTGTAAGTTTTTATACATTCCTATTAATAATTAATTAATACTAATAATATTGGAAATAAGAATGAAAATTATATTAGCAATAAAAAAATAAATAAAAAATAAACAATGAAGTTTACGGTAATTAGTTCAAATGTAAAATAAATTTCTGAGCTACAGTTTAAAGTTAAGCTTCCTCATATTCTGTTTCAGACGAAGTGTTATCCGATCGGGGATGAATTATTATAGGTTCTATACTGCTATCTATTATATGATCAAGTTCCCACATATTTTTCCCAATATCCATAACGTGATTAATACATTTTTGCCAATGTTCAGTCGTTACTTCGGATATTGATTTATGAAAAAGATTAGTAACATCTGACAATTTAAAAGTTGATTATTTCGAGCAACGTCACCTTTAACTTCGGCCCATACTAATTCAATCAGATTTAACTCGCAATGATACGGTGGTAGGCGAAGTATTTCAATTCCTCGTTTTTTGACTATCTCAATGACATATTTTTTATAATTTTGTTTATTAATTTTAGCAGGCTCTAATAATTCTGCTTTTGTCATTTTATCGTCAAAGATTTAATTCTTAGAAGTTAACCACATTGCAATTTCATCTTTCCTCCATTGAGTAGTTGGTAAACGTTCAACTAATCTAGAGTGGTAGCTTGCATTGTCCATCACAATAACTGAATTTTTAGGTATGAATTCAATCATCTGTTAGAAATATTCTTCAAACACGTCTCCGTTCATCTCTTCGTGATAATCACAGGTCTTTTTTGATTCAAACAAAAGTAAACCCTCGTTAAGAAATCCATTCATACTACCTATATGGGTAACAATTAATCGTCGACCTTTACCTGTTGGTTCATTGAAACCAGTTGAATATCCTTCCAAAAAATGCTTGTCGACATGTTTTTATAGTTTTGTCTTTCCAAACTCTCCCTGCAGTATGCCCTTCATTAACCCACGTTTCGTGTAAATAAATGTTCTTATTTTCTGTCCTCATTTTTTTTTATTTTTGTGAGGTAGTCTCAACCGTTCTGAGTCTCGTCTCCAACACACAATTTCTTCGCAATCGAGAAGCATTGACTGTCTGACAACTTTTTTATACTTAAAGTTTAACACATGCAACACTTTCCAAAGTTTGTCTCTACTTATTGTGGGTAAATCGGGATCATCGGTAATGGCTTGTAAAACTTTATCTAAAGTTGGTATTTGTTTGTTAAAAAAAATGACTGGACCATTCTACGAATTGCATTTTTGAAAAATTCATCCACATTTACTTTCGACAATTTTGGTCTTCCTGTTCTTGGTTTGGGTGGGGTTATACCAGCTGATTTTTCCTCTTTTAAAATGTAATATACAGTTGATTTTGAATATCCCAATACTTTAGACGAAATTTCAACTATACTATCAACAGTATTGGAAGGATTGTGTTGCTTAAAATAATTATAGACATTGAGGATAACACTCTTTTCGTTAACTGATAAATGATTCAACTTAAATTTTTTAACTGGTGTGTAATCACACGTTAATTCCATATTCGATAAACTCACTATTCACTCTTGCAAAAAACAACTGTGTCAGATCTCTTCACTCGCTTATGACTATTTAAAGACAATTAACCATTTTATTAATCATTGGTTTTCCAAACAAAATCGAAATCTATACTATTTAAAATAGCGTTCACATTTATCGGAAAGCATCTTTCGCTAATCGACTTTTTCTATCTAAAGTATCAAAAGACCATTAACTAAATACCTATTTATTTTAAGAGTTTCTTTATTTCTTTATTTATTATTTTAAGAAATTCCCAATTAAAGGAATGGATTAAACTCTGGAGGATAAATAATCGTACCAGTTTTTATTTTTCGAAATAGAAGCGTTCTGGAGTTATTAAAAATAAACTACTTAAAAGGCGCCATCTTCAAAAAGCTCTAGCTCCCTTGTACACTAACATGATTTTTCATCTCATCACTTGTTGTTGGAAGTATTCTATAAAATTTATTCTTAACTAACCCCAAAAGAAATCACTGTATTGTATTAAATTCTGGTGATCTAGGTGGCCATTCTACTGGTCCATTTATTCCAATCCATGTATCAGGAAACTGATTGTCAAGTTCACCTTGAATCAATTCATTAAGGCGAACAGGAGCACCATCATGCAAAAACCACTTTTGTTCACGTATACGAAGTGGAACGTCTTCCAAAAAAATCTAAATACATCTCACCATTTAGATTTTATTCAACAAAATATGGTATCACGACATCGTTATCAACAATACCTCCCCACGAGGCATAATAATAAAAGTTATGTTAACAGAACCGTTTTTATAAAACGTGGTTTCATTTCCAAATAGTACGTTATCGAAGAAATCTCTAATGATTGTTCATTGATTTTATCTAAGTCTCATTCACAAAATACAATTCTCTTTTCAAAATCCTCCTGAATTAATTCTTGGTGTAATTGAATACGGTAAGAGTGCATTCTGTTTTTTTGCAAGAATTATTTGTACAGAATAGTAAGTTAGTTCATTTTCTTTGGAAATACTCTGTATACTTGTATGTGGATTTTCAGTAACTGCCATCAACACATTCATTTCGTTTTCCTCTGTCACACTACTTTTTGTTCGTTCGTATTTTTCATATAAATATAACTGAATCAGTGCGGTTAAACCGATCCTTCAATATTTCAAAGCTTACTGTCACCTCTCAGGAAACCGTTTATGATAAATACTTACTGATAATAACGGATTTTTATTGCATTCCCCCAATATCCAGATCATATTTACCATTTCATCAACAGTAAAATTCATCCTAACTATTTAGTAAGTTTATACACAAAAAATGATCGTGAACTGTCAGTTCTAGACAATTAAGTCATGGCTTACTTAAAATGTGTAAAAATTACACCTAATTAATAATTTGTGATGAAAAATATTTGGACACATGGAATAATAAATAAAAATTGAAGTATGGCAATGGTTCTTTTCGATAGTGACATAAAATACAATGTGTATAGTGTTAAAATTACTGGGAAAATAATGTACTTGTGTTTTGAATCCTGAAAATCTCCACAATCACAATATGGCAGCACTAGATTATTGAGCTTATCACACTAATCATTCAACCTTTATGTATAAGCAAGCGTGTATTTATGTAATGTATTTTAATAATTTTTATTTTTTAGATTGGCCCAATCAGTGAAGGTGATGATTGCCGTTGCGATTTTCTGCACGTACGCTCTACAGTTCTACGTACCTATGGAGATAATCTGGAAGGCGGTAAAGAATAACTTTAACCGAAAAACATTGGCAGAATACAGCATCAGAGCCAGTTTAGTAATCGTAACAGTAGTTATGGCCATTTTAATCCCTAACTTGGGAGCCTTCATCTCGCTAGTAGGTGCTGTATGCCTGTCCATGTTGGGGCTTATATTTCCAAGTATCATCGAATTAGTTACGTTTTACGAAGACCCAGGTTTGGGTCGTTTCAACTGGCGGTTATGGAAAAACATGTTCCTGATCATGTTCGGTCTTTTGGGTTTCGTTACGGGAACCTACGTCAGTATACAAGAAATTATTCATGGTTGAGACATTCTACCGTTTTTCAGTATTTCTACAGTCGACTTCGCAGGGAGTCTCAATTACAAAGTTGGTTTTCCATTCCGGCTGGAACCCGGTTGTTTCTTCGACCAGAGATTACCTGAATATGTTATCTTTTCAATGGTTTTATCTCTTTAGATATCAACAGAGGAAACAGTCGGTAAAATAGGGACCGTTTTATAAATAAAAGAATAGTTTTTAAACTGTTAATGAACCTAAGTAAAAGTACCGATATAGAAGCAGTTTTCGATATAATTGAATAAAAGGATATAAAAAATCGAATATTTAAGTATTAAGTATTTTGATTTCTTTCAATTAATTTATAAAACAAACTTTATATGGCATCTTAAATATTAGTAAAAATTCGATTAACTATGAGTGTGCATCCAAGATAATTAAATGAATAAACGCTCCATCATGTCGAATTATTAAGTATGTCCCTTTATTTTCTGGTGTAGCACTTTTTTAAGTGCTATATTAAGTCATTCCTTTGCAAGGTGTAGTGCTATACCACTCCAATGTTCCATTGAAAAGTATCTCGACTTTAATGGGTTTCCCATAATTTCTGATAAACAGTTAATGTCTTTACCAATCTAACTAGTATTTTGGATATACCCATAATAAGCTTTCATCTAGTTTTTTTCTGTTTATGGTGTCAAAGGCTTGTTTGAAATCAATAAATAGACTGTTTATGTCGATGTTACATTCGTGGCTCTTTTCTAACAATTGCCTTAGCAATTGTATCTGATCACTAGTAGATAGGTTTGTCTACAAACAGTGTTAATTTGTTATATAAGAGAAAATAAACCACTTTGCATGATATGTTTATTAACATAATTCATCGCTCTTTACATCGACATGTAATAGACTTTCATCTCCATATAATTCCACCTCTATTGCAGTATTATACTGTTAGATTTGCTTTGTTGCCCAGTTTACTTATATATTTAATTTTTTTGCTTACATGACCATTGCTAATTCTTTGCTTCACGTTGGCAATGACTAAGTGATCAGAGTCGCAATTTATTTCACTATTTGGTTTATAGTCTTATTGGAACATAAACTAACACATAATTTTTCATATTTTATAAAGCTCTAATGGTAAAATATTTTAGGCAATTTGCACCTCCCATCTTAATCATCCTAATTACCAATTAAACCATTATTGATCTTACTCTGACAGGTTTCTGACGAAATACTCAAATTTTTGAACAGCACTAAATTTCTTGTTATCCATTACCTTAAAAAATGTAAAAATTTAAAAGCACGCAATGTAGCATATATTCAACAGTTATATTTTTATAAAAGATGGCGTATGTAGCATATACGCAACAGACATTTAAAAATACTTAAAGATTAAATTATGATGATTTTAAACATAAGTGTAGTAAAAATAAGCTATGCTTGCTTATTTTTTTCTATAAAAGTCATAAGCATGATCTATACATTTATGATTCTCAAATTCACTCACAAAATTTGGCAGAGTTACCACCTGTTATCCACAGTGGTCACCGTTATTATTTCATTACTTTTGTGTTAAATGCGATATATCCTAGATATTGAATTATATTCGAAAATAGCGTTAAAGCTATCAGTTTCTATACATTTAAAATATATATCATTACTAGAAGTAAGAAATATATTATATAATATGTATATGTGGAACTTGGTTATAGGGTTATTAAAGGGCCTAGTAAAAAAATGACGCTATATGAGAGTGACGTTATAAAAGAGGGTAGAAAAAATGAAATTTTAACGAGGCAAAATTTGTTGCAGCATTATTTACTGCATTTAGGATAAAAAAAATTAAGAAATAAAGCATATCGTGTATACGAAAATTACATTTTTGATGAAAAATTTCTCTAATGCTGAAAAAAGTCCGTTATTATCTTCTGCACAAGACTTTCCGAAAAATAAAGCTCTTGTGTAGTATCCTAATACTCTGAGCTGCTTCTTTGGTAGTTGTGGATGCCTCCCTGAACTGGTAAAACCTGGATATGATCTCAGCAGCTCTCATTGCTTCTTGTATTGCTAGACAATTAACGCCATCTTCTTCGTTTTCTTTATTATCTTCATCAACCTCCATTTCCACATTTGTTCCACAATTTCTTTATCACTTAAAACTTGAAATGTTTCTACCTGATCATGCACTGAAATGTAGGAGTCAAGATCAGTTCCAAACTCTCTGGTTTACATTAAATTTTTTTATCTACTCTAACAAAGGCATTTCGTCATCCTTGTCAACATCCAGAACATTGGGAGAAACTACAGTCAATTTAGCTTGACGAAACCACTTAAAAATTATCACTGACATAATCGCACTCTACGCATTGTGTAAAAACTGAATTGCAACAAAGATGGTAATGTTCACGGGTTCTTCCCCAATATTCATCATCCTTTTCAAAAACTGTTTCCGATAATGGCACTTTAAACTTTTTATGACTCCTTGGTCCATAGGCTGCAAGACACTCGTGCGGTTGCCTGGCAAGAAAACTAGGCTGATATTGGTCAAATTAGGCTTTGGATGGGCACAGTTGTCAACTAAGAGAAGAAATTTTTTTGGCACAAACAAAAGGCGTGACTCTTTGTTTTAAAAGCTTTCCACCGACACATTTTTAATTTTTGAAATTTAGTTTTGTCTGGCGTTAATTTGTAAGAGACACCAATTTCATCGCCATTGAAGATATTTTCACCCTTGTATGGTTGCCTTAGTAGTGGCCATGTATTTTATAACCAATCACCTGTCACGTTCTCGTTCATACATTTTGCCTCTCCATTAAACCGATCTAGCCAGCCATTAGAGCATGTAAAATCTTCACCAAACAGTTTTCCGAACTTTATAGCTTTCTCCTTTAAAAGTGGCCCGGACACAGGAATATCAGAACTGCGACATTGCTTGAACCATTTGAGTAGAGCTGAATCTACATCACCACGAATGCACTTCTTAATCTTTTTAACATTTTCTCCCTCCTCTTGAAAGAGAAAATTTGATTATTAGGATGGCACTGATAAATGAGAAATCATAGAACTGTCAATATCACATAACTGTACACAGAAGGGATAATCGGACTTTCTCACATTCTTGGGAGGAACAATGCCGCAAAGCAAGAAACTCATTACACTTTATTCTTCATAAAATAAAAAGTGACAACCTACTGTAAAATTCTATGACGCTATATAGAGGCTTACTTTATTTTTAGCCAATACAACCGGCTTTTTAATAATGTTATCGGACTATTAAAAATTGACGTTACAACCGAGATGACGTAACTACCGAGGCCGTAATATCCAAGTTCCACTGTATATATATTGTAGGGGAGAGTGGGGCACATTTGGCCCCATAAATTGTTTTTAGGTAAAAAAAATACAAAAAATGTTTCATTATATTTAATTTGCAAAGAAAAAAGTAAAATTTATACTTTTGTCAATTTAAAAAGTAAAACAATTTTGTTGAATATGTTTTAGTTTTTTGTTAAAAAATAAATAAAATATATATTACACTCTGGTTTGATCACCCAGTGGGGGTACAATCAGCCAGGCCAAGGGGCACTTCGGGCCGCAATGTTTTAAGGTATATAGAAACGGCATTGTTACAAGTTAAACAGTTTATTAAAAGAAACGTTATCAAACATTGTTTTGAACGTACAAAATATGGAAAAGTAAGAAAATTAGCACATCAAAAAAGAACTAATGAACTAAAAAATATTATTAACTAATAACTAACAAAGATATTTACTTAACCGTAATTCCTTCAAAGTTGTAGTGAAATGTCACCATCGAATTTCTTCGAGATTTAGAGAATTGGGTAAGTCGAAGTGTCTTTTATGAGTTCCTCGCCGGATTCAAAAGATGCAAGACTTTCATTGTCATCCGAGTCGTCACAAAAAATACTCACTTCCGATTCACTGCTAGAGCTCATCAAAAACTTTTTTTTTAATTTTTTGGATTTTTGCTTTCTTTGCTTGTTCATCCCTATTGGTTAAGAATTTTTGCTTCTTTATTTGATTACTGTCCTCTTTTTCTGATTTCATCTTTTCTTTTATTTATTTTTTTTTTTTCATTTTCTATTTCTTTCAATCGCTGTTTTTCAGGGGTTTCTGTATAAATTCTAGATTTTCCTTGGTTTGCTTTAATTTTTCTTTTTTTATCTTGACGTTTTTCAACTATTGGGAAAGGTCTTACATATTCAGGACTTAGAATTTGCTCGGAACTGTGTCGTCGCCCTCGATCTTCGACTTTTCATTATTATCTTGTACAGAGTCATGAAGGACTACGCCGACACTTTTTGAATAGATGGCTGATTATTTATTTCAAAATCTGCATCTTGATTTGAGATATTTTCACGTCTTGATTCATTTTTATAGACCTTCTTTCTTCTAGGTGCCGTTCTCCCTACGGAAGGTTGGGGGGGGGGTGGGGGGGGGGGTGGCCATTCATAATGGCTATGTTTATTTTTAGTACTGCTGCTGTAAAACAAATCAATCAATCTGCTTTGTAGATGTGGGGCATCATATCTTTTCTTCAAGTGCGTATTCTTCAATGGAGGTTAAGCTGTTATGGTGGCCAATGTATAGTCTATCTTCAGCTGCTCTTAAGGTTCCTCAAATCCAAGTCTGTCCCAGTTTTCTGATATTACCGTAACCAGCAATTTTTTCTTCCAATCCTCGCCTTCCTTCGATTTTGCTTTTTTTATCAACGGAGGGAAGTAGTATTTTCGTAGCGCAACCAATGCCCTAAATAACTGGTTTTTTTCTTTGACTGTTTCTATAGTTCTTTTTCTAAATTGAGTCTAGTCGTACCTTCTTAATTGGTTTTTCGTGCTGTCAATTGATTTTTAAAATTCTCGGTACACCCCATTTCCTAATGCCTCCGTTCTATTTCAGGCTCTTTATTTTTAAAGTCACAGTTTCGACTCCGTAGAGAAGAACAGACAGATAAAAAATTTTACAAGTTTTAATTTCAATTGAATATTTTATATGTGTATCGCAGAACAGAACGCGCATCTTAACAGAAACTTTCCCTCCGCTTGAGTCAATTCTCGCTTTAATTTCTTGTTTGGGTCCAGCTTGTCAATTAATCCAACAGAAAGGTCTTTGTATTGGTTTACCTGTACTAAAATATACCCATTTCTTTTATAGGTAAGGGATATTCTGTTTCTTTGGCTCCCAATTACTTTGTTTTTTTTTATTTCGTTGATCTTCCTCCAAACTCTTCGACAGCATCCTTATAGGTGGTCTATAACTCCTGTAAGTTTGTGTCTATATCAACAGTAGGACAGTGTCACTTTGCCATATCTTTGCTAGTATTGGTTCTCCATTAATTTTTATTCCTGTGGGACAAGGTTTCCAAGGCTTGTTGTAGTATTCCGTGTAAAGATTGAAAACTTAGGGGATTAGTATGCATCCTTGCCTTACTCTTCCTTGTTATACTAGATTTTAGATGTAAGATCCGGCGATCAAAATCTGCGTCACTAAATTCTTGTGAATTATGGGGCTATATTTCTGGTTTTTCAAAGGAGCTTGTAATATTTTTAAGGAAAATGCCGCTAAAAATGGTTGTTTTGTAATTTTTGGGATATTTTTAACAGCAACAGTTTTTCCCGGATTATTTATTTATCATCCACTCATATAAGAAAACAGAGCAACTACTTTTAAAAGGCCCATAAACTCCCACATCAAGTGGTTGGAGTTTATGGGAAGTATGCGGAGGAAACGAAAGCATTACTATTCCATGATCTTGCGCATAAAGTATTGCGTCTAGTGTGCGACTCATGGTTGCCAGCAGCAATATTTTATTTTCCTCTTTTATCGTAGTTTGTGTGGTTGACAACGTGTCCCAGAATTTTAATAAAAAGGTCTTTAGTCATCCACCCAGACTGATTTCCAAATGCTACACTTAAAGATGGTGCCTCATATAAATAGTCTTCGATATTTCTTACCCTGGGAAATATGTAAATCGGTGGTAATGCGTTTCCTATGGCGCTTATAACCCCAACATCTGTTACAAGTTCACCTTTTTCGGCCGATGATACTATACTTAATTACTTCTTACCCTTTGGTGCTACGATTTTGGGAGGGGGTAGGACTGTTGTTACACCTGTTTCGTCCAAGTTAAAGATTCGATCAGGGCTAAAATAAATTTTTGTAACACTGTCTTGTAATTTTGGAAAAATCTCATTCATACCGATTCTTGTTTTATTATATTTATTTTCATGCGAGATTGCAAAGTTTGTCTTTTTAAATTAAACGTTCTTGCTGCTTCTCTTTGGGACATATTTCTTGAAAAGATATTTTGTAGAGCATCTTTTATGCGCTGCTCACTTATATTTGCTCGATCTGTTTTATTTTGGTACTTTCTTGCCATCTGCAATACAAAAAAATATCAAAATAATCACTAAAACTACTACTAAATTAGTGTGGGGCACAATCGGCGACTGCCGAATGTACCCTGTTAGGCCGGCCGAAAGTACCCCACCTGACTTTCGAAGCATGAAAAATTTATTGTGACCTTCTGGTCAAAGTAGAGGTTATGTCAATGCATATTCTGAAACTAGAGATTTTCAACCTAATATGAGCAAATTTTTACAACAACATGTTATCAGCAACTATCACATAAAATATATGTTTTTTAAAAACTTACCTTTAGCTTGAATAAACACACTTATTGCAGAAATACCAACAACTAAAGTTAAGATGGATTGTTACCACATTTTTAGCGAAAATTCGGCGCGAAATTCTGCTTATTTAAAATTTTATTTGCAGTGACTGAATCTGCCCCCAGGCCGAATGTGCCCCACTCTCCCTTATATCATTTATGGTACATTAAACAGTACATTAAGTCAGGTGTTTAAGAATTATTCAGTTATTTTTAAAAACGGTCTCAACTAAGAGCCATTGATGGCAGAGTGTATTACAGGTCAATTAACCAACTACTGGCCACACATAGAAGGAAAACCAAAAATTATTAACATAACATCCTAACATCTATTTAGTAGTAGCATAAAACAATACAATTCCTAATAGTTTTAATTACTTTTATAGAAAAGTAATAATAGTGTGCTTCTATAGAAAATGAGGGATTATTTAAATATGGGAACGATTTTGATACACCAAAACACAATAGAACAAAATAAAAAAGAAACTAACGATAAAAAGAATAATCCAAAAAATTCATTACGCAAAATGGATTTATTTGATTGATTTTATTATGTTCGTTAAAAATGTTCCAGCTCCATATTTTTAAATAATTTTCTCACAATTCTGCAGATAAAGTGAAATATTAGATCTGGATGCACAGAAATCAGTATTAACATAAAATAAAAATACGTCCGTTGACGAAAAAAAAAGTATTCACCTGATCCTTATTAAGGAATTATTTATATATACTTAAAAATAAAGGATCTAAAAAACAAGACTCCCTGTCTAAGGAAACATTACCACTAAAATCTATGTAGACAGCTGACTAAACTATTTAAGAAAAAAGATTTAGTGGGATGTTTCATCACCAGTATAATAAATAATCTATAGATAAGGACTTTAGAAATGCTGTGCCGAGTATACAAATGTAGA